TTGAATCGCTCCTAGGAGCGGAGCCTGTCGGGAAGGGGGAGGGGAGGGGAGGGAGCGCTGAGGGGCAGCGAGGGAGGTGTCGTCCCTCCCTGAGGAGACCGCCCTGCCCTGGGCACTGCGGATTTGGGGGGGGGGGGGCTGCGTCACCCCTCCCACAAAGAGCAGGGGAAACTGGTTTAAAACCAAACAAAAACTCTATTTTTCTCTTTGTCTTCAAGCACCTGAGTTGTTAGGAAGTGGCAGCTTCCCATCTTCTGGAAAGCCAGGAGGACTAGAAACTACTTGTCCCCTTCAGAAGAAGAGATTTGTTTTTGTTTCCAGACCGTCTCCTGATACCAGCAGCTAGGATGCGAAGTCGAAAGCCTCCCACGTCCGTGAAAGCGGCGGAGCTGAGCGCGGCGTCGAAGAGCGCAAAAACGATGCGCTCAGGGGCCCGGGAGAGACGGTTCATAACTCGTCTGACCCGAACCGGTCCGATCCAGTCCAATACTGCGTTCAACCAGGTTTATCTTAAACCAGTTTCAGCCATTTTGAAACTGGTTTACCTGCGCCGAACTTCTGTTGTGTTGCAGGTTTAAACCAGTTTCTGACAACTTAAACCGGTTTAGGTGTAACTTCTGCCCCTAGTCCATCCCCCTCCCATGTGGAGTTGGCGCCTTCCCCCCCAGCTATACAGCACTCCGGTTTTCGTTACGTGCGTGGCTGTTGACAGCGCTGTTATTCATAGAGATACGCATAATAAACTTACACCACAGTATTTCTCAACGAGTATGACTCAACATGTCGGAGAACCATTGCGTTATTTGATTGATCTTCGGGTTCTGGATGTTTTCTGAAACAAGCATATGTTCAGGGAGAGCGATAGAGAGGTGTAACAAGTTTTGCAAAAATAAGTCTTACCCCGTTCTCGGAAGAGGAAAGAGCTCTCTCAGTAGGCATGTTTGACAGATAACCATCTCCCACCTCTCTCTTGTAAATGCTCTTATTCCTAAAGCATATTATGTAGCGTAGGCAGAGCTGTACACTCAATACACAATTAATCTGATTTTGAGCAGATGAAAGTTAAAATGTTTTTGTAAACTCTGCATGTTGCCAGCTGAAAGGAAAGGCATATTAAGCGTATGTGACCCCTGCTCTCCGCATGTCTAAACTCATCTAGTACTCCACACAAGCCAGAGAGAGGATGTTATGTAGCACATAGCCTCCGGGGCCTAGCTATTTCCAACCATAATCCCGATCTGGTATATGTTTGTACTTGCTATTTACATTGCAGAACACTTCACCATCTGTTAAGTGATTTTGCTCTGTTGAAATCATTTTGAGCTTGCCTTCAAGTATCAATGCTGAACTCGCACAGAATAATTAATAAGCAATATATTTAAGGGCTTTTATTTTAGCACCCGTTAATAGTACCAAATTTACCAGAGTAAGCACTAACATCTATAAACAAAGCAGCCCTGGCAATACCTAAGGACAGATAACTCGTTTGAATTGGACCAGAACTGAATTGTAGCCGTATCAATTGTAATGTTATCAATATATTCATTTTTATTTATGACTCGGCATTACAACGATCCTTTTTGAACAGAATGCAGTGTCTTTCTATATTCAGGGTCACCACCTGTATGTAAATAGTTCTCATTAGGGAGGCATTTATAGTAATAGAATAAGAAGAGTCTGGTTTTCTAATAGGGTGTCAGAGTGGGTAGGAAAAAAAAAGGCAAATCCAAACTGCACAATTTCTGTTCATAAGCAAACTTGGGAAGCATTACAGCAATACTAAAAGCCGACACACTCTATGTTCACCCTGCTACACACTTGTATATAGGAGCTGGTCTGGAAGCGAGCAAACTGCCATGAAGGATCGAATCACTGAACATGCTGCCTTTAGTGGCAAAAAAACAGCTGCTTTAGAGAAAAAGTGCAACACCCCCATAATGCACAATTATAAAATACTCCACCCCTAAAAGGTGTTTATTTCTAATCTAGGCAATGTGCTGAAGCGTGAGGGTTCACATTTTTTCCCTATCTGATATAAATATAAATTGTTAAATCAACAAAAGTTTAGCTAAATATTTTGTTTCATCCTTCAGCTGTTTTCACGTCCTAACAGGTCATCCTCTTTCAAAAACATTTAAAAATAGGGTTACAAATAGTGACCTATCACGTGAACATTTTACTTCTGGTATTTGTAATTGTTTTTTCTACTTGGCACAAACAGTGTGTTCACTCTAACATGTATCCAGCAAGGACCGTGTCCGTGGGATTCATTCAAACTGTATATATTGCTGCCTATCTTACTAGTTAAACAACTATTTTCTAATCATTTTCTGGTCTAGCATGCCTCAGGTCTTTCCCATACTCGTATCATTGAACGTATTGTATTTTCTTTTTAACTGCTTTTCAAGCTCCCTCTTGAAATATGTGCTCTCAAAGTTATAATGAAACACCCACATGTCTTTTCTGAATCGGACCCTTTTAAAATTCATGTTTTTTTCTGATTAAGCTCCAGACTGAATCCCATAGCTCCTTCCTTCCTTCCATTTTGAACAGTAAATTTTTCATACTAGATAAGTGCTTCGTGCTGAAAGACAAAAATAGTCATGTAAACAGCTAAAAGAATTTACTTGTTCAGCATATTTGAAACAACTTTGGCATCCAACGTTTCCCCAGCTGGATCTGAACTAAGTAGTGAGCTGTTCAGCCAAACTGCATATTTCATTATCTGGGCAAATCTGAACTTGTACCGTTGATATCAGAGTTTCCCATACTAGCTCAAGAGAAAAATATTCTCTACATTTTAATAGGATTATTCACTCCCTGCTCTCTCACATCCCACAACCTGTTTATAGTGGAATGGCCTTAAAATAATTAATTAGAGCACAAAAGTTCAAGTTAATTACTCTGAATGGCTTTGCAGTTCAGATGTTTTCAGTTTCCATGCTATGGAACATCTCTTAGTAAGATATTTGGCAACTTAATAAAACTGATTTGCTTCCTTCCTCTATTTCCTTGTGTAGTTGTATCATGTACTTTTAGAAACTTGTCTGAAGGGCCTGTATCAACTAGCTTTTATTTCTCAAAATTAGTTTTGTTTTTTTTAAATGCTAAAATCTAATACAGCATGAGTAAAAACCACAGCTGTGCTGGGCCATTGTGTTCTACAAAAAAAACATTAATAAAATCGCATAACTTAGTATTTCTGCTTAGGTTTTCGCAGGCTTTTCTTTTGCCTCAAGGGCCCATTCATGTTGAAATAACAAAAGATTTGTCCTCTCAGTATTTTTAGCATCCAGGAACTGAACTGCTCCTAGATGTTATAAAATGAGGGGCTTTCAAAAATGATAAAATCATGAAACCCAAGAAACCTCCACCCACTCCTAATCTGTCCTTCCTTTACTTCACAGTGTAATGACCGCTGGGGCCAGTCTCCAGTTGTACTCTAGTTCTCCATTGTGCCCTGTCTTATGCAAACTCCTAATAAGAACTGGAAAATTAAACAGATTAGAAGCAAAAGGGAAAGTGAATGTTACAGTTTAACTGATCAAAAAAGAATAAAATGTGAAAAGTACAGTAAATAGTAGGCTGAGATTCACAAGCTCTGCATTAATTTTCTCACTCTTCCACAGACTTCTTTTGATGCCTTGGTTAAATCATGCAATTTGTCTGTGCCTCAGTTCCTTAGCTTTAAAAAGGTGGATAATACTGCTTCCATTCTCCCACCTTTTATCTTTTTAGCCCATAAACTGTTTAGAATAAAGAAAGTACTATGTATAGGTATAGCACCTGATGCAAGGGGATTTTAATGGAACAGAGATATTAAATAATCCAACAGTAAAGAGTAGATTAACACTTAAAATATTTTAGTGTTTCAATACTCTGGTGCCTTATTAGGAACAGTGATAAGGAGTTACAGTCTAAAAATGCAACTTATTTTGACATGGTTCCTTGAAATAAACAGCCGGAGGCTTGTTTCTTCATGCTGTGCGCGCTTTCTGTTCATACTCATTTTCTGTGGTGAGTTCCTGTTTTGGACTGTGCGTATTTCCCCACTCTCCTGCCATGTACTGTGCTTTTTCACTTCCGTTTTCTATTTGATGGTTTTCTAATAACTTGAATTTAAGTAGCATACAGCAAGAATAGTACTTGTTATATTGTACATATCTGGGGTTTCAAGGCCCAAGACTATCTCAAACAAATGTTTTAATGCATACCAGATGTGTTATATAAAATAAAGATACATCTGCCAAAATATCACTTTGTCCTGTGACTGACGGATAATTTTTATCTCAC